AGAGAGAGAGAGAGAGAGTGTGTGTGTGTGTGAGTGTGAGAGAGAGTGTGTGTGTGTGTGTGTGAATGTGTGAGTGTCGCTGCCTGGCAACTGACTGTAATTCTGCTCATGTGTCTTTATTACTGTACATGCTGACGCTGAAAAACATCCCTTAACGTGTTATTTACTGACTGGAAGCAATTTTAACATCATACTGGTCACACTGCAGCACAATATTAGGCAGAACTACAATGGATCATTATATACACACACACACATATATATATAGTTTTATTTATTTATATTATTTTTTCTTTTATTTATTTATTACACAAAACTGTCTAATAGTGTATATATGTATACACAATAGATATGATATATTATTTATATATATAAAATATCCATCTATCTATCTGTCTATCTATCTATCTATCTAGACTAATAGTCGACTAACCGTTAGTCGACCAGGAGAGGCTTGGTCGACCAAAATTTTATTAGTCGCAGAAAAAAAAAATCCACAGGCGAAGTCACGCAGTCCGTGACGGACAGATAGTTAACGGCTGGTCTATGTGGTAATACAGTACATCGACAGGCATGACATCCAAACGCTCGACTATCATTCATCGACCTCAAATATGGCTAATCATCTGAAATATGTTAGTAGCAACTTTACATGACAATCTGATGTTAACCTAGAGAAATGTGTGCCATTCAAGTGTCTGTGTGAAGCTGAACAGTAGTGATTCACTGCAGACACATGGAGGCGCCGGAGCACTCACTTGCTCTTAAAATACTCCCTCATTTTTATTCATACAGATAAGAGTAATACATCTTTCGAATCTGTAAAGACTCCGAGTTTATTTGTGTGCACTCACAATAACAACAAAACATTGCGCTTTTATAAAATAATAAAAGCAAACAGGATGCGCTTGCTTTCTGCCGTCTCGGTCTTTGTGAACTTGAGCGCGAAACTCTGTGTATATCTTTGCCTTACAGACATTAGAAATATATCTATAGAGAGTGAAATGTCTACTTTCAAATGAACCAATTCAAATATAAAACAAATTCTGAGATTATGTAATCCGTGTGACACATGCATACAGGCGCAGCAGAGATGGCGAGTCAGTGTCGCCGACTTCATCTCTTAAACCGAGAACAAAGAAAGCACTAGTTTATCAAATTACTAAAATGTTAATGTTCACTGACACATTCATAATTATTACTTCTGCGGTGCGCTGTGGCAAGCTTTATGTGTGTGCTTAAGCGCTTATTAGGCTATGTAGGCAATTAAAGGCTTGTGCGATTAGTCAACTAATGCTTAAAATGAATGACTACTAGTTGACCAGAAAAATCTTTAGTCGAGTGCAGCCCTAATATCTATCTATCTATCTATCTATCTATATATATATATTAGGGCTGCACGATAAATCGCATGCGATATTTAACGCGCATCTTATCAGTAAAGCCGGTTCTGTAATCAGCGGTAAATCTCCATCACCTGCGGGCTTTCA